AAACAGAAATAATATCAGAAACTGCCACAGGACTTTCATCAGGAACTAGCGGAAATTTGAATGTCGTTCCATAGTTGTTTTCAGATACTATTCTAGTAAATAGTACGATTGGCTCATCATCCATTTGCGTTATTTTTCCCACAAAGTATTTGATTGACTTCTTACCACAAAATTTTACGAGAACCCAATCATCAATTTTAAGATTACTTGTATCTTTAAATGTGGTTTGTATATCCCTTAATTCGTCTACTTCTCTATTCACAAACTGTTCAAAAGTATCATCATCACTAGAAGAGTCTTTGAAATCTTCACCTTCTGAATCATGTTTTTATGCTGTTATTTTCTTTTTTCTTTTTTCCTATTTGTTTCCTTTTCATTTTGTTTTCTCTGCAAGTTGCCTCTCTGCTTCATTTGTTTTAGTTCTCTGATACACTTCTTCTGATGTGATGACTTCTGACCTAGCACAAATTCTAATTTTCTTTTTGGAATTGGTATTGGTAGAATGACTCTTGATTGTTTTTAATAATAATTCTTCAAAAGAAACTTCAGGGGTGATTTCGTTTAAGTCTGTTTTCATATGAAGTAGTATGTATTGGTACTGATGTCGAGGGAATTTCGTTAGAATCAGTTATTATTTGATCGTCGATTGGTCGATTAATATTAGATATTACTGGTGTTGAAGCCTCTAAAACTGTGTCTGAATTATTTTGAGACTCTTTCCATTTTCTCAATACTGCTGGATCGAACACATTATCTGGAATTATGTTGTGATTAAGGGGATATATTCCTGCTTTCTCGAAACTTTTCTTTACAATTGTTGTGTCAGTGTCATTCCATATTTCTCCCAAAATTTTAGCAAATTCTTTTTTTGGTAATTTTACACCAAGATGATGTCGTTGCCAGTGCACTAGTTTTTGATCCCAACGACTTTTAAGAGACTTCATAATACATAGGTCTAGTGGTTGAAGGAGATGGCTGGAATGCGGTGGTAATTTCAGGATAGTAATATTTTCTGCTCTAGCTAGTTCAATAACCTTTGAACATGAGTGGAATGTCCATCGCAAATGAGGAGTGCTGGTCTTTCGTTGCCTAAATTTTTTACAAAACTACTAACGAAGTAATTTTCAAATACTGCAGTTTCCATCCATCCGTTAGAAGTTGTAGCATACATTGTTCCTGGAAAACCTGTACCTTCTGGTGCACACCATTGATCCCAAATATTTTTACCTTTATATATAACTAAAGGCGGTAACTTTTGTCCACATGCACTAATTGTTAATAAAACTGATATATTTTCTTTCCCTGACGTGCTCGTAGTTCTTGTGCATGGCTCACCTTTGGCACCTACTACTTTGGTTTTGGAAGGATCTTTTACAGAAACTAGTCTCATCACAGTTAAAGATCAAATGGGGTTTATCTGCTATAACTAATTCTTGAATAGTATCCTGTAGTAACTTAAAATATCCTTTAACTATAAATGGATCACACGATTTCTTGCGAGCAATTTCTACAGCCTGGGGTTTCTTTACAGACAAGTTATGTCGTCTCATAAAAGAAATCAGCCAGTCTTTGTTAGGTTCATCATCATCATCATCATCATCATCATCATCCAGCCGAATTTTCACATCCATTGTTAGATATAGGCCTCCTCCAAACGTCTCCAGTTCTGTTGTTAGGTTGTCCATCTTTAAAAGGAGTTTTTAATTTATTTTGTCTTACATATTCTCCTACTAGGTTTATTACTTCTTTTCTACATAAGCCAAACCTTTTTGTTCCATGGACCGTAGTCCTAAAGCAATTTGTGTTTCTTGCCAAATTTAAATCTTCCTTATAGTATAATTTACCTCTATCAGATTTACGTATATAATTCCTTACCATTTTATGATATAGAATCTGAAACAATAAAAAAATACATAAAGATGATATAATAAAATAATAATGGGGAAAGAGCATAGTACCATGCACTTGCCCCATCTACTACTTACGCACTTTCCCCACCACGAGTTTGCAGGGGCAAGAGCGCATCATATATTAACAGAAGAAATATTTTAAAAGTGAGAAAAATACTATGCTCTACTAAAAGATAATTATAAATCATGCCTACTTACCAAAATTAACAAATATATATGTAAAAATGTGCACGATGTTATAAGATATATAAATCACGACGAATTCGACCATTCACCAAAAAAATATGACGTTACTAAATGAATTGAAACATTTGATCTATTGACATCCAGTGTTGCCACAGTTCCAAAAAATTGTTTTTGAATTGTTTTTGAATTATTTCTTGAAAATTTTGTATCATCAACAGTGACAAAACTATACCTAGATTCAGATAACTACAGTTCTTTGATCAATGCGTCCTTTCTGTGTTGACATAAGGAGCAGAAACACTTACCCTAACAAAAGCCTTGACTACCAAACTGAAAATCACACAGAAAAGAATCGAACGATCCATGTTAGGAATGATTGTGCACGACATAATAAAAAACAAAGAGATCAGTAGAAGATCCTGACGTGATTGAAAGGATAGCCAGGCTAAAATGGAGATGGCCAGAACACGTAGCTAGAATGAGGGATAAGCGATGGACAAAGAGATTGTTCGAATGGAGACAAAGGGAAGACAAGATAAGCATCAGTCGGCCATCTACACGATAACTGACGATTTAAGAAAACAAAATAAAAACTAAATGAAAGTGGCACAAGATATTGGAAATAAAAGGAAGTGGCCTATGATCAACAGTGGACTTTTGAGGCCGCATGAAGACGATGTAGCTGTTTACACACTTTCAAATAATGACGGATTTTCTAAATTAGACAGATATCCAGAAAAGAAACCATTTTATTATTCTGACAAGAGTTTTACGACATGAGCTTTGGATCAATCGAAAAGTAAACGCAAAAGGATCATTTTGTTGATACAATGGGTTGCATTGGTGAAGACACACACTAAAAATGTGTATCTGTCATAAGAGGGGGGGGTCGTATGAACAAATATCTGTTTGAAGGTAAAATACCTAAACAATGGAGAAATGCCAACACAATATTAATACATAAGAAAGGAGACCGAATCAGACCTAAACAACTACCGTCCTATTTCCCTTTTGTCACAACTATATAAAACCTTCACAAGAATAATAAACAACCGACTAACCTATAAACTTAATAACTACCAACCAGTGGAACAGGCCAAATTCAGGAAAGGATACAGCACAATCGACCATCTACATGCGCTTAAAATCTTAATTGAGAAAACCAATGAATACAACCTTCCGCTGTACTTAGCATTCGTAGATTATGAAAAGGCTTTCGACAGCATTGAACACTGGGCAGTTGAAGAAGCTCTGGTCAATAGTAGAATAGATTCAAGATACCGCTAATTGATACATGATATTTACCAAAACGCAACCATGACCGTAATTTTGGAACGACAAATTAATAACGGATAATATAAAAGTTAAACGAGGAGTCCGACAAGGCGATATAATTTCACCTAAACTGTTTACCTTGACCCTATAAGACATAATAAAATCAACAGATTGGGAAAACAGAGCAATATGTATTAACGGAAAATACCTAAATCACCTTAGATATGCGGATGATATACTCCTGATCTCCTAGGAACGACAAGAAACCTGAATTAATGCTGAATGAACTTCATGAAAAATCACTGCAAAAAGGCCTAAAAATTAATTTCAACAAAACAAAAGTAATGACAAACACGGAAGACCAAGAGGCAATAAAAATACAAACAGAAAAAATAGAACAGGTAAATGGAGTATATCCATCTAGGACAAGCAATCAGAGCTAACAGAGAAAATCAAACAGCCGAAATATCGAGACGAGTAAGAATGGGATAAGCAGCATTCGGCAAACTTTCTGACGTTCTAAAAAATCAAACAATTCCTCTATACTTACGAAGCAAGGTATATAACTCCTGTATAATACCGGTGCTCACCTACGGAGCACAGACATGGACATTTACACAGGCCAATTTGGATAGGATAAGGAAGGCACAAAGAGCGATGGAGAGACAAATGTTGGGTATATCACTTAAAGATAGAAAACGTAACCAGTGGATCAGAACCAGAACAAAGACAGTAGACGCGATAAAACAAGCAGCAAAACTCAAATGGAAATGGGCTGGACACAATGAACGTCTCCAAGACGGACGATGGAACAATGCCATCGGAAAGTGGCGTCCATACAATGCAAAGAGATCAAGAGGCAGACCACAGATGAGGTGGAAAGATGACATCAGGAAACAAGGAGGTCCCACATGGCAGAGAACAGCTCGAGATAGGGAAAGATGGAGAGAACTGGGGGAGACTTATATCCAACAATGGAAGGATAGAGAATAGGTTAAAAAAATCCTGTTTTTAGATTGTTTTTATTTTCTTTTTATTTATCACTCATGTATGAGAGGAGAGGAGAGGGCACAAAGACATATTCAGATGTAATTCAACCATTCACATTTAAGGTTATGGTCAAAAAAAAGAAGAAGTCTTAATTATGATAGAAGGAAGTAATCTTGGTAAGCAAAGAGAAACGGAATTAGGCAAGGTGTTTGGAGACAAAAGAAGAGGAGGAAACAAAAAAAAATCTAAATAATATATTATTTTGGCATGTATATATATATTATATATATATATATATATATATATATATATATATAATATATATATTGCTCATAACTTTTCTCAAATTTAAACGTATTCATCCTATAAGCATATTTTTAATTCATATTTATGGCTTGGGTAGCAAAAGTTCGATAAAATTCTTCGGTGGTTATTGCATTGTTATAAAACCGCCGATAAATGACATAAAACTTAAAAAAAAGGTCGACAATCAATGATAAAGCTCTCATGATGCACGACACTGCAGCGAGTCTCAACGTTAAAGAACGTCGACCCCACCAGAATACAAGAAGTGGTTGTTGTATATCCTCACTGCTAAATCCAAGTTAGTCCGTTTACTGCTGGTCGAAGTCGAATGTCAGTTAAATTCGAAGTTGAACGAGGGAAGTACCGTGCCGACTACAGTACTACGCGAGACACGTTTGTTGACGTTCGTGGGTTGACAAATCGGGGGTACCGAATATTCAAATTTTTGTGAAATTTAGTTTAGAAATGCAGCGTTGTATCTAATACATTTTTAACAAAAGGACCTTTTTTTTCAAAAATGTTTTTGATTGTTGTGCTGGTTGTTGCGGGTTACGCGGTTGCTGATACTAGTAAGTTTTACAAATTTATAATTTTATATTAAAAAAAGCTTTATTTTTAAGCAAGTTTAAAAAAAAGAGTATTTTTATACCTTGAATAATGAGGTGTTAGGTAATCCTCGTAATAATTATGATACAAGCAGGATTGATTCAAGGATAGATTTTATATAATAGTAATTTTTTGTTATGATGATTATAACGTAAAAACAATATATTTATTTTTATGATAAGTTGTATTTAATATCATTAATAATAATAGAAAACTGTTATTGTTGCTTTATGTACGAAAAAAATTCAGGTATCGTCTACTTTTTCACATGGACACTTTTTATCTAAGTTGCTCTACATTTTGTGAATGAACTACGAATTGAAATTAAAATAATTTACTTAACTTTTAAGACTACAACTCGAAATTGTTTAGAAAATAAAATTTTTTGTAAAATTATACAATTTTTTCTGTTTTAATTGGAACAAAAATTATAGTCGATCAATAGAATAGTTGAGTTTTATTTGACTCACTTATAATGCCAATTCTGATAGGTGTGTCTTAAAAAGTCATTTATAGACAAATAAATAAAAATATCGTACATAATACGCAGCTTTACATTTCAATAATAAATTAAATTTAAAAATATATTCAAATTAAATCGCTACTTATTTGTCTCAACTTATTTGTCTCGCTACTGTCTCAACTATTACGATCCTAAATTATCTCTATTATTGGCAAAATACATTATGAGGCTGTTTTGTTAGAGTTTCTGCCAACCGCAATTTTGTATTTACATAACAAACATAAATTGTTCTTGTATATGTTGTATGTAAAAGACCAACGTACGACAAAATGTACGTTTTGTCCAGTGTATACACACTACGTTTTCCTTCCGTTTTCTACCTTATTTCTAATTCAAAGTCTTGAGTTGTGTGAAGTTTGTGTAGTGATTTTTTTATTATGGAGGAACACGGCTGCTTTCTTTTATTTTTTCAACAATAACGATACTACGACTGAGGAAAAAGGGAATGAAGAAGGAAAAGACAAGATTGTCAAAAGAGTCCCACATCTCGATACTAAAAGAACTGAGAGGCGAACTAGATGACTGGCGCAAATGGACACCTCAGCTATTGTCAATTGCTAGAGTTGGTAACACCATACATATTGAAACAAGACACCTGCATGAGAAAAGCCATTACACCCCATGAAAGACTCACAGCAACTCTCAGATATCTTGCAACAGGACGCAGCCTCAAGGACTTGAGTTCACAACCATAATATCCAAACCAGCGTTAAGCCAAATAATTCCTGAAACCTTTAATACAATCTACTTGGTTTTAAAACAGAACTACTTAAAACCTTTTATACAATTCAATAAATTCCCCGAGAAAATCGTGGATGCATTGCCGCAAATCTGAATTATTAGGCTTTTTTTTGGGAAAAATGAAGCGAACTTCAGTGGAGCTACTCCTTAACTGAGTCAAGATTGGACGACTTGTCTGAACATGTATGAAATTACAACGTTTTATCCTGTCAGTTCTCGCAAAACTATGCTTCTCCCATCATTTCTGCGATCTGACCTTGGATTTCATTTCGATTCGACAAGACGTACGTTTTGCTGTTTACATGCCACGTTTTAATGTATAGGATTTGTCCTATCCAACAAAACGTACAATAAGATGTGGCGTGAAAACCGGCCTTTAGGGTGCCTGTCCGTTCCGACGTTGGCGATCATTCTGGCTATGATAACTTTGTTGAATGCTATACGAAATAGCTGTGTTGAGGTCTTTCTATACCATGCTCTCAGGTTAGCAAGCCAGGATATTCTTCTTCGTCCTGGTGCCCTTTTTCCTTCAATTTTACCTTGTAAAATGCATTGAAGTAGCTCGTATCTGCCTTGGTTTCTAATTATATCTCTCAAGTACTGCAACTTACGGCCCTTCACGATGTTGACCAAATCCGCAGTTGTGTTCATCCTCCACAGTACTCCTTCATTGGTGACTTTGTCTACCCATGGTATCTTCAAGATTCTTTTGTATCACCATATCTCAAAAGCCTGAAGTTTTGATAGAGTTTCCGCCTTCAATGTCCACGTTTCTACGCCGTACAGAAGCACTGAGTACACATAACATTTACGGAGTCTTACTTTTGTTTCAGGCAGTCTTTTTTCTTCCAATTCAACAACAAATTTTATAAACAACCTGATGGTTTAGCAATGGGCAGTTGCTTATCCCCCTTCCTGGCTGATATCTTTATGGATCATTTAGAATCCAATCACATCATAAAAAATCCTGAAATTTTAGACTGGTTCCGTTATGTTGATGACTGTTTAGTCTTCATATCAGGTAATCATGACTCAGCGAACCAACTACTTCTTAAAATCAATCAAATCCACCCAAATATCAAATTTACCATGGAACTAGAATCTTCTCAAGCCATTTATTTTCTAGATTTATCTATTACCAGACTCAACAACCAATTTAACTTTGGTATCTTTCGCAAGCCTACCCAAACAGATCATGTTATTCATTCTTCATCCAATCACCCATTAGCACATAAATTAGCTGCTTTCAGAAGTTTCATCCATAGATTATATTCAATACCTATGTCCACTGACTCATTTAACAAAGAACTTAACATCATAAAACAGATAGCGGTCAACAATGGTTATGATCCTTTCATAATAGATAAACTCATCCACAAAAGAGAATCTAGATTACTTCAAAATTCTGCTTTTAATCAATCTTCCTCTTACTTCAATTTACAGGTCTCTACCATTTCACACTCCCAAACTATCTGAAAACATTAAACGTATTATCACTAACTCATCAGAAAACTTACACATATCTTTCAAAGTTGGAAATACTCTTAACCACTTGTTGACAAACACTAAAGATCCAATACCTTACATGAACCGTAGTGGAGTTTACAGACTGACTTGTTCTGATTGCGATGCCTCTTACATTGGCAGGACTTTTAGGTCACTTTCAACCAGATCTGCAGAACACTTTAAAAGAGATAATACATCAGCTTTCTCCCATCACCTTAAAGTCAACAACCATCATTTTAACATCCCTGATGGTGTCAAATTAATTCATAATATTCAAGATAAAAATACTTTACGTTTAGACCTGTATGAGGACCTTGAGATATCCAGAGACATGAGGACTAGCCCCAATTGTGTCAACCGCCAAACTACCCTCAATAGACCTTTTAATCCTATACACCGACAATTATTCCCTTAATTTTAATCAACTTTCCAGTTATTGCTTTTAAATTTCATCTAGTTATCTCCTCTTTTTCTCTTTTCCCAACCACCCTACTAGCATCTAACATTTTACAACTTCCTTATTAATCACCCACTAACTATACCATACTCAACAATTTTCCACCCCCTCACTTTCAATTTTCTATTCATTATACTCCATGATAGTCACATACCAATTGATTTCTCACCCACTCATTTCCTTCTTTCTATCCATCATATGACCTCCTTTGATATCATCTTATCCCATGATAGTTTCTTTCTTTTTGTCATCCTTTTGAATCTCTTTTGTGACTCTTCTTCTGACTTTTCACACCTTCTCTCCTCATGTCTCTCACTTCTTGGGGTCTCCTTACTTTTTTGGTTACCTTTTCAATACTATTCATCATTATTAACTTCAAATATTAACTTTACACTCAAACTCCACAACCACATTCTTACTCCACCAGCCATCAACACACATCCCTCTGACACTTTCAGTCTGTGGATCCCACTACCACTCATAATTCATATTTCACTCAATCAACTCAGATATGCAGTCAATTTAATCGTCTTACAGCCAACCCTACATTAATCTCTATATTTCAATTTTCTCTAATACATATTCACACACATCTAACAGGTTACATTTTCTCTCCTACATTAAATTTCATTCACTTATTCTCAGCTTCATATATATATATTTGTATATATGTATGTATATATATGTGTATATATATTCATTTTACATACTATTAGAATATTCATTTTACTAATCAAAATAAAAAATAATTTTTAAAATATCTGATAATTACACAGGTCTTTTACCATTGCTAGGCAACCACCTTTACACAATATATAAATAATAATTCTCACTTCCATATCATTGGATTTTAACTTAATTTTTTCAGTTATAATAATTTTATACACTTTATATACTTACATTTGTACAGTACCACATCAATACCCTTCTTCTTCTACTACATTCATCATTTTATCATCACTTATGATGTCATAAATTTCAACCTTTTATACTAATCCCATTAAATTGATAGTTCATTTTCAATAATATAGATTCACTGATCTAGGCAATAAATTTTATCATATAAACAAATCTAATTGTTAAAGTCAGGTTCATTAATAAGTTATTATTCATTACTACAAGTAAACAAATTTTATAATTTCACAAATTAAAAATTACATTAATTTCGGAACATACTGAAATCCTGTCAAGTTTAGCTGTCTTTAAGTTATCTCCTGTGACATCAGCCATTTGGTCTGTGTCGTCGCTTCAACTGACAACGTGCAAGTACTCGAGCTTAGGAGACATGTAGTCCCTAAAGTAAAATTTTTAATTTTAAATACATCCATTGTCATCGACCTACAGTATCAACATTATCTAATGTAAAATGTGACACTTTACCAACTCAAACATGGAAGTCTTATAGACACCATATTTATATAGTTAGCAACAAATACTAGGCACTGAAGATGATCCGTAGTGATCGAAAACGTTCTGCCAGAACTTTAAATGTGACGACACTTTTTTAAAAAGTTTTAACTTGTTTGTTTTATACCTAAATACACATTTGTGAAGTGTTTTAACTTCTGTGTAGTCTTATTTTTGTTTTTGTTAGGGCAGCAGTCAACAAAGTCAGAATAGCCATGTTAGTGTCCAACATCCGTAACGGATATGCACCATAAAAAGAATTTTTGTTTCAAGTGCAATAATGCACTCTTTGCCTATCCGATGCGACATTTAATTTCTTGGGTATTGTC